CGCGGCGGCATCCCTCCAGGTGCTGGAGATGGAGAGCATGGAAACGGCCGCCGCCGGCTCGGCCGGGCTGGCCGCCGAAGTCCGCGGCAGCGGCACGGTGGACTTCGGGCCCGGGCCTGGGATCTCCGCAATGGAGGCGAGCGGGGGCGATCCGGGCCCGGAGGCCGAGGATTTCGAGTGCAGCTCTCACTGCTCGGAGCTGTCCTGGCGGCAGAACGAGCAGCGGCGCCAGGGCCTCTTCTGCGACATTACGCTGTGTTTCGGCGGGGCGGGAGGCCGTGAGTTCCGGGCGCACCGCTCGGTGTTGGCCGCTGCCACCGAGTACTTCACGCCGCTGCTCTCGGGCCAGTTTTCCGAGTCTCGCTCGGGCCGGGGGGAGATGCGCAAGTGGAGCTCCGCGGGCGCATCCGCGTCAGCACGGGCAGTGTGCACGAGGTGCTGGAGCTGGCCGACAGGTAGGCGAGGGGGCCGGGTCGCCGAGGAGCGAGACGCGCGCCCACCGAGGGGCTGCGCTCGTGCCGCGCTCGCTGTGGGCAGCCACCGCGCGGGAACGGAGGATGCCGCTGCACGCAGGGAGCTCAGACTCTACATGGGGGGACGAGGGCAGTGAAAAGGAAAGTCAGTATGTGATAAGTGCTGTGCTCACACTCGGGCGTAAGGAAGAGTGGTTGAATAGAGGGAAGACTTTTCTGGAGATGTAACATTTAAACCGGCTTCTGAATGGCGAGAAAGAACTGGCCGTGCAAAGATGGGGGATGAACGTTCCAGGCAGGTAGCACAGAGGCCCTCTGGCAGGATCCAGTTTGGCTTAAAGAAGGAACTTAAAAAAAAAAAAAAAACAAAAAGAAATCCAGTGAGGCTGGATCTATTGGGTGAAGGAGAGAAGGGTGGGTGAGAGGTGTTGGAATAAGCGAGTTTGGACTTCAGTGTGAGTGCGGTGAGAAGCAGGGTAAAGAAGTGATCTGATTTAAATACTTTAAAAATATTCTGCTACTGTGGAAAACGAATTGTAGGGAACAGGAATGGGTGCTTCAAAACTGGTTAGGAGGCAGGTGAATGCCATGTACAGAGATGGGGAGGAGTCTCTTTTGGCAATATCATATTACATATTCGTTATTTTAACAAATATCTGTTGAACACCTATTATGGGCGAGANCGAGTACTTCACGCCGCTGCTCTCGGGCCAGTTTTCCGAGTCTCGCTCGGGCCGGGTGGAGATGCGCAAGTGGAGCTCCGAGCCGGGGCCCGAGCCCGACACGGTGGAGGCCGTTATCGAGTACATGTACACCGGGCGCATCCGCGTCAGCACGGGCAGTGTGCACGAGGTGCTGGAGCTGGCCGACAGGTAGGCGAGGGGGCCGGGTCGCCGAGGAGCGAGACGCGCGCCCACCGAGGGGCTGCGCTCGTGCCGCGCTCGCTGTGGGCAGCCACCGCGCGGGAACGGAGGATGCCGCTGCACGCAGGGAGCTCAGACTCTACATGGGGGGACGAGGGCAGTGAAAAGGAAAGTCAGTATGTGATAAGTGCTGTGCTCACACTCGGGCGTAAGGAAGAGTGGTTGAATAGAGGGAAGACTTTTCTGGAGATGTAACATTTAAACCGGCTTCTGAATGGCGAGAAAGAACTGGCCGTGCAAAGATGGGGGATGAACGTTCCAGGCAGGTAGCACAGAGGCCCTCTGGCAGGATCCAGTTTGGCTTAAAGAAGGAACTTAAAAAAAAAAAACAAAACAAAAAGAAATCCAGTGAGGCTGGATCTATTGGGTGAAGGAGAGAAGGGTGGGTGAGAGGTGTTGGAATAAGCGAGTTTGGACTTCACTGTGAGTGCGGTGAGAAGCAGGGTAAAGAAGTGATCTGATTTAAATACTTTAAAAATATTCTGCTACTGTGGAAAACGAATTGTAGGGAACAGGAATGGGTGCTTCAAAACTGGTTAGGAGGCAGGTGAATGCCATGTACAGAGATGGGGAGGAGTCTCTTTTGGCAATATCATATTACATATTCGTTATTTTAACAAATATCTGTTGAACACCTATTATGGGCGAGATCAGACACTGGGTTCCAAGGTGCTGGGGATTTAGCAGTAAACAAAGCAGACAAAAGTCCCTTTCCTCATCGCACTTAGGTTGGTAGACGACAGTAAATAAGTAAAATGTATAGCCTGTTGGATGATTGTTATAGCTATGATGAAAAATGAAGCATGTTGGGGGGCATGCAGAACGTGCTGATGGAGAGGAACTGTTTTCTTAAATTGGGTGGATAGAGAATGCCTCATGAAGACATTTTGCAAAGAACTGAAGGAGGCTAGGTAGAGTGTTTCAGGTAGCAGACACAGGTCCAAAGAAAGGCCCTGAGGTGGAGCTTGTTTGGATGTTAGAGAATAGCAGGGGGGCCAGTGTGGCTGGATCAAAGGGATGCGGGGTGAGAAGAGCAGGAGAAGCCTCAGGACAGTAATGGGGATGGATCCAGATCCCACAGGGCCTTGTTGGCCTGTGGTCTTGAGCATTTACTCTGAATGAGATGGGAAGGTTTGAGGCAGAGGAATGATGCAGTGTGATTTGATGAATTCTGCTGTGTTGAAAAAAGGGTGGAGCAATGCCCAGCAAGGGCAGAAGCAGAGAGACTAGTGTAGGAGGTTGTTGGCAGTGGTGTCGAAGCTTGAATTGAGGAGGGAAAAGTGAAGGTGATGAGAAGTGCTCGGTTCTAGATGTATTTTGGAGGTAGAGGAGAGTTTGCTGATGGATTTGATGTGGGGTGTAA